ATTTTCCACTGTAGTTTAATCATCCTCAAGGAACGGCTCGGAGCGACCCTCGCCAAGAAGAGCTCCATACTCCGAATGGTATAGTCGTAGAGAACAGCCCTTTCTGGCTTCTGCGCCAAAGTGGTTAATTCCCATGACTAGTTGGTCATATTACCGGTGACCTTTTTGGGGATCACAGAAACTGGTCTCAAGAAGGCTGGCGGCTCGGGTCAAATGGTGCACGGGCGGAATATGAGGCTCTGCCGCGGCTTCCGACAGGTTTGAGAGGCCTTGAGGTCTGCTCGATCCGCCAAAGCAATCTGATCAATCTGCATTTGTGCATATAGTTCCCACAGGTGGCAGGAGGGTGTCCACCCCCAAACCGCTAACCAAGGGAAACTATACAACCACTTTATGCTTGTAAACTTTATGCATGTGTGCGGTGCTTCCCCTGAAAAAAAAAAAAAACAAGAAGCAACATCTCCCACAGAGGGTTAATTCCCTAACTTGCAAAATGAGGAACCCCCAAAGGCCCTTCATGGCTGAGCTCGTTGACCTTTGCCTAGCTATGGCGTGCTTGGCCGTCCAACAGGCCAAAGCCTTCAAGCTGAAGTGACAAAAGGAGAGTGATTGTCCTTGGGGAACCAAAAGAAAACGCAGCGCGCAAAGTGCCCCGAAGAAGTGGCGGTGTCAAAGCCAGATCTAGAGACCTTGAAACAGGACACTTGCACCCAGGCCCGCAGTGGCCACGGGAAAGAGGAACTCGTTTTGGCAGTGCTTTTAAAGGGGACCCCCCCCCTCCCAACAAAAAATAACAACGGGCCCCACTGGGTGTCTTGTTGGGGCCTTGGACAAAGGCTGGCTGTTTGGGAACACATGTTCCACCTGGATTGCTGAAGTTCGCAGGTACTGTGATTCCCTTAACTCTGCACGTAAAACAACCACACAAATGTAAATACATTCATTGTGTTGGTTGTTCCCTACTTGCTGTATCTAGGACATGTATTTAGGAGGTAGATTCAAGATTAATGTCTGATTCTGGTCCATACGTAGCGAGCCTCAGAATGCAACATGATTCGAAAAAAGATCCCACCAACCTGCCGAGGTCCAAATGGCCACCTTGAAAAGTCGCTTGAAGAGCTTAAACCAAAAACCAACCAATGCGGCCACTTCAGCAAACGCTCCAGTTGCCCAGTGGCCTGGTACAAACAGTGATGGTTCTGTTGGGGCTGACCATTTTGGTGAAGCCTAGAAGCGAAACAGGGTGCGGGTGCCCTAAAACTGGGTTTGACCACTGGGTGAATCACCGCGTTTTTCCCCAACAGCTGAAAGCTAAGGGGTCTCAGCCCAAATAGGTTCTGGGGAAGTCCGGGGCGGCTCTGAGGAAAGGTTCCGCGGGGGTTCCGCAGGGTTCCGCGAGCGTTCCGCAAGCGTTCCGCGAGGGTTCTGCGAGGGTTCTGGCGATGCGCGGGACGGTTCCAAGGAGGGTTCCGCGAGGGTTCTCATAGGGGGGTGGTGCTGTTGGGGATGTCACCTAAGCTTATTTCTTGTCCCAGGCGCATGAGCCCGGCAGGCGTCAGCGGCACCATGTTCCGGTTCATGGCGCCGCCCTCGGGGATGATCAGCTCCTCGCCTGCAAAACCAAGAAGAAACTGTCAACATTTGCTAAATAGGGGGGTACCACAAAATAGGTGGTTGTCCATTTCTTTCCCTTGAAAATCAAAAAAGAGTACCCTCTAAAAAACACTCCCATTTGGGTTTGGTTCTCTTTTCAGGGTATGGAGGGATGTGGCATCACCTCTGACAAGAACCATCACATGTGTCACCTTCCTCACGGAACCCTTTGCGCCTTGGTTTAAAGGGCGACCAAAAGGAACCCCCGTTCTGAGGGTCGCCCTGCTTGGAAACATCTCCACAAAAACTGGGGTCAGAATCGGGCCTGCCCAAAGTGACCCAGTGTGAGTAGTCTTCCATATGGGCTTGACGGCAGGCCTGAGGAAAGGATTAAGTCTCCCCTGGATGTCTCTGTGGATACTTCCAACTTGCCAGTGATCAAGCTTTCGCTGAGCCTCGCGTAAGCGCTTGACGAACAGGTCTGATGGTTGTTACTCAGGTAAGCCTTCCCACACCCCTTCAAAAATAATTCGCAATGCACCTTGTCAGTGCAGTTTGGATTTGTGACCTTCTTGTTTCATCATCTTGACCGGAGAGCTCGAGCCTAGAATCCCAAGGAGCTGCATGGTGCAGCCGCTTTGACTTGCCGGCACGTCCCTGCGTTCCCTCACTCCCCTAACAGAAAACAAAGTAGTCTCTGTGATGTCTGGCGCCTTCCCTATTCATCCCCCGCCCTCCCCGATCGCCCAGTCATCCCCACCCTCCTCCCTTTGCCCTTTCGCGCCCAAGCCGCCATCATCGCACAGCACGCGCCCCGTCTGGCGCCGGCCATTGTACCACAGCACTGTGCCGTAGCCCCGGCCATGCTCTGAGTCCTTTTGCCGCTTCTCCTTGGCTTGCTGGTTTCGAGCGTGATGGCCCAACTCACTACAATGAAATTGTGGCTTATCTTAAAACCACAAGTCATAAGCATTGACCAACATGATAGCAACTATCTAGGACATATTGGGAAGCAGCGGAATGACGCGCTCACACGTACTGCAAACAAAGAAGAACTTCAGAACTTCAGATAGTTCCTTCATGAAGTTAGTTTCAAAGTGTGCATGATGAAACCGCGGAAGGCTCTTGTTGGGACACTGTCGTAGCCAAATGGCCTTTTAAGGCGGTTGATGAAGCTGCCTCTGGCAGCCAAAAGTGCTGGACACTTTTCCACCTTCGAGAGAGCTCCAAGCACTTTTTAACGGGTTCACTCGCACTATACTGAGCAAAACAACATTCGACCATCGCAAGCAAGCATACGAGACATCTGACCCGATCCGAGCCCAAGAAAGGATGCTATGGGCAAGACTGCGGCAAGACTGCTCCCGATTTGGTGAGGTTTCTCATGATATACACATCGTATGACCCCTCCAAGCTTGCAAGAAGTGGGGATTGATGCATGCCAGGGGTTTGAGTTGGCTTAAATGTGGAAGAACGTAAAGAAACACCAGAATGTTTGGGGGGTGCCCTATTGTGAGGAAACCAAGACATTTTCAATGAGATCTGGATGTTGTAATGTACCCAACCATTTGCAGCCTGCCAGCGTTCAATACATGTTTCCTCTCATCAACAATATCAAGCAAGTCTACCCCAAAACTATGTAAAGAACAACTACGTCATCGGATGCTTCTACTTCTGGTGGAACAAGTCATACAGTACTTTCCACTCACCTTGTGTTGATAATGGCTCACATGAAGTGGTACTTGGCAACATGAGGAGTATGGGTGTGGCAATCATAGACACTCTTGTTGGCATACGAGCAGTCGGCAATTATCAAACTTGCGAAAGGATCAACAACACATTTTGTGCATTCACTCCCTGCACCCCAAATGCCGTGCTGGCACAAGCTTGTTCGTTTTGTTGCTTCTTGTATGGCTGGGGCCGAGCAAAGAGGGGTCCCTCCTTTGAAACATACTTCTCGAACCAAAACCAGCCAAGGCCCCTGACACTCTCGAAATGCTTGTCCAATTTACATACTATAGCTTTCAACCAAGGGTGTGTGTGTGTGTGGTGGCAACAGGGTTGAGTGGTGGGGGTGGAGTGGCCATAGTTGTTTGCAGGGGTCTTGATGTTGACCCCGGAAGTGAAGGACCCCCCTCCATCCAAAAACCAGCTGGGGCTTGCTATTGCGTCAATAAGTTGAAGTTACCCTCCCCAAAGCTCGCCAGGTTGCAAAGCCAGATCTTTGAGAGATCTGCTGTTCTTGGTCAAGCTAAGATATAACAGGCCCGGGTGGTTTATGGCATGAATCAGCACTGGAAGCTCTGCGTGCCAAGCATCTGCTGGCGTCTTGCCATCTGTCAGTCGCTTCATGGCACGCCATGCGGCGAAACCCGAACGAAACCCCGACAGCTGACCCGCCCGACCCGAACAAGACATCCACCTTAACACAAAACAGAAGTGTGAACCAGATTCTTTGTCAGTCGTGGCATATGCATTGCCTTGCTTTCAGGTGCTGTGAAGAACTTTGTGCTTTGAGGTGTTTTGCAGTCCCTGCACAACTACTGCCAGCCACATGCTAGTGGATTCGTGCAATGACGTGATCTTTGCCTGGGGACCGTAACCCAACAGTATATACCCCGGGAGAAACAGAGTCCCTGGTCTGTCGGTGAGGTGCGCTGAAAGTGTCTTCATGCACCGTTCTCACAGCCGACACGCCTGAGTTGCAATGCAACCGTGGTTTTAAAACCTTTTACCCAAACCATGTGAAGAAGTTTCCTTGCTGCCCTTCAGCTACCTGGTTTTTATCTATCTCAAGTTGCAATCCTTTGCTCACCACTCTGTGTACCTGGCTCAAAGGAGCCTTGAAACCCCAAGCTGCGGTGTGGCAAGACATGTCAACAATTCATACCGATGTCACGGCGGTACAGGATATACAACTCTTCACGGAGGCCTCTCTTGCGCAGAAACTGACACCATCCATTTATGTGTGCATTTTGCATGTTTTTGACGAGTCCTAACCGGTGGCTTTGTATGATGTCCAAAGGAAATCCAGTTTTGGATCAGTGCAGAGCCTCTCATGCTGTGGACCTCTTGACGCCGGTGCGGGGTCGGCCAACCCTTGCTTAAAGATGTAATCCAAGAAACCAGCTTCAAGAAATTAATCCTTTCCCCCGAGTACTAAATGCACCCTTTTAATAAGTATCGTTTTCCCCAGCCTCTTTAAGGGCGATCCCGGCCTTATTACGGGGTGCTCCAGGACCAATACTAAATCAACACTAAACCAATATAACACCAATACTAAACCCATACTCAACCCATGCTCAAAGCAATTCAACACCAGCACAAGTCTGAAAAAATGCCCTGATTTCTGAGCGAAAGCCCGGCCACTTCCCAATCAACAGCCTTGCCCGCACTCAGCTCCTCGCATCTGCTGAGAGCACTAGAAGAACTACCTGCGGAGCAGTCTGGGATTAGATGCGCTTGTTGGGGGATTCCGTCTGTTCGTCCCTCAGTTTGATGCTCGTTTAGTACTCGTTTAATATCATCCCAAGGGTGGATCCGAAGGCGCATCCAAAGCGTACCCTGCAGGGAACGAGAAGTCTGAAGGGTGATTTCCCAACAAAACGTACTGACCTGAGAGAAAGCATCATGTCGCCGGAATCCTTGGCAAGCTGTGCATATTGAGACGCTGAATAGACTGCTGACCCACGCTTACTGAATCAAGCTCCTCCGCGGCCTCGGAGTGGCGGTTTGTGGTTAGACCAAGTGGTTGGGTTGATCTCACAACGAGTGCCAGAGCTCCATGCCAATTCATCGTCCAAAGATGAGGGACACTGCACACTTTGCACAGCTGCAATCACAGCTGAATGCGACAGGCCATGATTCTAAGATTAACTTCTGCTCACAAGCTGGCAGAACGATTGATCCGTTGTGCGTGTTTGTTGCGCATTTAGTACATTGTCAGGTGAATTTTCCAGTGCAGCACGGGCCGCTCTGACCAACAACATCATTGATCATGCGACGAGACACTTTGGGTACTTGGAGAATCACTCCGGGCACGAGTTCCGGCGAGTCTACTTGCCTCCACATAGCTGCAAGATGCCGTGAGAGCTGTATCGAACAGACTTGGGTAGTTAAGTATCCATCACCGCGACATACTATGAGTACCTGTCATGAGTGCCCAACTCAGCACATGACAAACAAATCCTGCGTCTTGTTCTAAAGGGATCCCCTTCCGATCCAAACCGAAACCCCTGTTGATTCCTTACCGAAAGCCAGTAAAAACAACCACGCATCATCCCACATCGGGAAACCACCGCTTCGATAGGCTTTGGCAACAGAGTCTCTGGATAATATCTGTCCCCAAACATCTGGTACTTCCGGTGGTAGGGATCTCATTCTGTGTCACCTCTTCTTTGAGTGTGCAAGCAAGACGGTCTCAAGTCAGCCTTTTGGTATCGCATTGTCGACACGTGCCGCTCGTCTCTTTCAAACGACACTTCGTGCCTTGGCAGAAAGATACAGTTGCTCCGTCTTTGCCGAGGACACCACACTGCATGTTCGTTTCCGTTGTTCGCAGCCCCCTAAAATTCGCACGGAAAATCCTGCGTGTGTCTGCGATGGCCCCATATTTGCCAATGCAAATTCTAAGCAAATGCGTGAATCATGATAGCCCTGGGCCTCCACGAATTGAACATCATCACGTTCCCAGGCTCTAAGAGGGTGGAAGTACATACCCCTTGTTCATACCCCTTGGCTTTCATGGTTTCCAACCCACTTTGTAAGGGGTATATACCCCTTTTGGGGAGAGGGGTATGAACATCAGCAGGCCTTTTGGGTTCATTTGTACAAGGGGTATGTAAGGGGTATGTACAAGCACCCTTGGACAGGCCCAACTTAGTTTTTAAAGAAAACCCTCATTATCAAAATGCCAAGTGGCCCGGCGCCGTCCAACCCCCCATGACCCTCAACTAGCCGTCTAACAGTGCACACGCTCTCTTGCTAAGCTTCTAGCACTCGAAATTAAGGCTTGGGGGATAGGCTCAAAAGGACGTAGAGTTACTTGGACAAAGAGCGTCTTAATGCGCTTCATAAAGTGGCTCTGCACAGGACGGATGTGCTACAAGTACGTAGTTATTTATGGGACTACTAGGTATGCAGGGACCACTTGTTGCTTTGGTGCGCCATGTCCCTGCCACTTCTCGCAGGAAGAATATGTACGTAGAAATAGATAAACCAGGGGGGTCTCACCTCGCAATAAAGTGAGACCTCACTCACACCCAAAATGTGGCACACAGGATTCACTTTCAGGCACTGCCAGTGAATTTTGACCAAACATCAAAGGAACTCATTCCCTCACAGCTTCAAGTCGTGGAATTCTAGATGGACCGTGAGTGGACCGAACAAAGCAGCTGCCGTCCAACTGCTCCTGACTAGTCCAGTTTGTACAAACCCCAGTTCAAGATCCTTGCACTTGGCGGACATTTGCAACACCGCGGCTCCCTCCCGCCGTGGAGAGTAGTTCATCCACATGTCAAGGCAGCTGGGAAATTGGGAAATAGCTGTATTTGCTGGAGGCTAATTACTACTCTTCTGATGGTCCCTGACAAGCCGGCAACCATATCCTCGGGCACGCGTGCCCAGCAGTTTGCACAGGGCCATCCGTGAGGAGATTCAGAAATCCAAGGGGATGTCATCGACAATGAGCCAAGGCATTGCACGGCATATTCCGGATTGTGCAACATACGGTGGATGCCCAAAAACATGAAACTACGGGGACAAAGAGCCCCCGAATCTACCGCAATGTTCCCCATGGTTTTTGTGGCGCGCGGTTGATTTACCTGAAATATTGAGTTAACACCCACTGTAGCATGGCTCGATCTCCTTGCTGTCTCTGGCTCTTTGCTATCGTGCACATCTCCTCACGTGTCTGGCCTCTAGAGGTCTGATCTCAAAGCAATGCACAAGGCAACGGGCAGCGGTTCAACCAACGCATGGGTGGCACGTCTTGTTTGAGGGTCCCCATGTTTGTGTGCGTGTGTGTGTGTGGGTTTGTTGAAGGGGAACCAAACGGAAAACCAATAATGTGGGGGGGGTCCCCATTGCGACAGGTTCCACATGGAGGTGGCAAGGTGCTTCTTGACCAGTGCGAGATCAGAAGAGCCACGTCTTAATCTGCGTTGCCCAAGGCATAAGGCCGAAACGTCCAGTCAGCTGGAGGGAAGACAAACCAAAGCCCCAACCAGTTCGTTCATAAAGTGTCACAGAGCCGCAGCAAAGAAAGCCAATGCAACCTTGCGACTAGAGGACCATTCAGGCCAATGGCACTCCGATGGCTCCCCTTGCTATGGCTCTGAATCAGTTTTCGAGTCATGTGAACTGCCTCGGGCCACCGGAGGACCAAGGAAGCCAGCCATATGCATGCCAATGATTCCTAACATCACATATCATTGCACCCAGGATTGATTCCACTACCTCAGAACCACCAAGGGATGATGGGAAATGCAACCATACATATAGGTGCTTCTCAAAAGGGCCCAAACAAGTTGTGTCCTTGTGGTTTCCCTTTCAAAGCATCCAAAAAGGGGTCCACCATTTGGAAAAGCATCTGTGTAGCCACCAAAAGCCTGGACTGGGCGGGCCAATGATTCATCTCCTTTCTGCACGACACGCCGACGGGTGTGCCGCTACCGTCGGCACTCCTGACAAATGCTGGGCCCTCTCACTACACTGAACAGAAGACGGGGGGGGGGGGGGGGTGAGCAAATAAGCAACTCATGACCATTCTCCGCTTCAACAAGCAGCAAGCAAACGAATGATCATTTCCGAGCACAAATCACAACGGGGGGGTGATTGTATCTTGCATTTGCTGGGATCCCGTGGTCTGAATGACCTGAGATTCTGCGCAGAAGTTCGTCTGACTACGCTGGATTTCGATTGCTGTGTTTGTTTTAATCACCCCGAGCACAACATGCACTTGGAGAGCTTGACGTGAGGACCCCAGCATGGCTTCCCTGAAGCTTGGGCAAGTTCCCAATCTGCAGTCAGATGTCTCGACAGCGAGCCCCCCAAATAACTTTGTGGTGCCCTGATCTCCCTGCACCGTAGAACAACCCCGAACAGGGGGTAGTTGCCGTTGGGTTTCCCTTAGATTAACTTCAAAAGGGTACCCTCAAACTGACTCAAACAAACACGCACACACACAGACTGATATACACACACATGAATGGGGGTTCTGATTTCGGTGGGCAGACAACCTGGCTGCAGCCCAAATATAGGCCCCACAGGCAAACTGTGGGTGGTCAAATGGCCTGAATTAGTGGTAGCAATTACCAGTTTTCCCAAAGCCCTCTATCACCAGCTTCCATGACTGCCAAACTCACATTGTTAGCTCTTGAACCGTGCGCGTCCCTTAAATGCGAATGAGGCTCCGAGAAAACAAAAGCAACCAAAAACTCTGGCCACTTCGCGGATGAGCAAGAGCCGTATGAGCAGCTCTGAATGTTTCTCACACCTTCCACAAGTTTGATTTGGCACTCCAACATATTCCTGGCAGATGTTCACGGCAAGCTGTTCCGCAGATCAACATAGAACAATGGAACCAACAAGGCCATCCTTTTGTAAGAGGAATCTCCCCCTTGTTGGGTTCCATGTTGATTGCATGGGAGTCTACATCGTGTGAGCAGATCTCGGCAGTGAGCCTCCAGCCAGTAGCCCTCGATCTCGGTGAGGGTAAAGGTACCCCGATACTTCCGCGTCAGCTCGTCAAAGCCTCGAAGCAGCAACTCATGACTTTAGGTCGCCTTGTGGAAACCAGATTAGAACAACAACTCCAACAATGGAACTCCGACTCAGGGAATAAAATACCTATAGGGAATAGAATAGAACACCGAAAGGGAGTAGAAAGGAACACCGACAGGGAGCAGAAATAAACAGTGACAGGGAGTGGAAAGAAACAGCGACAGGGAGTAGAATAGAACACTATTATGGCAACCATGGCTTGCAAGTGCTTCCCAGGACTTCCCCGAAGCATGCCCGAGTTGGGTGGTTTGCCGTTGGCTTAGGGTGGGTTTGCTTACAGTTATTTAGGCTTGGTTTAGGGTAGGTTTAGGGTAGGTTTAGGGCAGGTTTAGGGTAGGTTTAGGGTAGGTTTAGGGTAGGTTTAGGGTGCGTTCGGGTTTGGTTTAGGAACGCGCAGCAGTGACCATCATCAGGACTTCCTTAGTGCATCAATCGCCACCTTCACGAGAATCCTTCGCGGATGCGTCAGTGAAACGGCACAGGAGAATGAAAGCAGCCGCGGGAGAAGCTGAGAAACTCTAGGCTCTTGCAGGGTGGTTGGCGAGGTCAGGGTGGGTTGAAGGCTAGGGTTGGTCTAGCGTGGGCTTGGGGTAGGTTTTGGGGTGGTTTTGGGCTGGGTCAAGGGTGGGTGGTTTGTGTTGAGGGTATAGGG